AGCTCAGGGTCCGCGTCGAACGCCGCCTGAATAAAGCTCGCCGCAACCTCCTCAATGTTGTTGTAGATCGGGCGGCCCTTCGCCTTCTTGTTGTGCGCGAACATGACCGCTGCCACCTCGAAGTCGCCCCTGATCTTGAGCTTCTTGGAGGGCGGGATCGAGCTCTTGTCCAGCCACTCACGGCCCGTGCGGATGTAGGTGACAATCTTGATGGCAAGGCCCTTCTTCGAGCCGACGATTGCTGCGACGTCCGTGCTGGTGAAAAGCCTGGAGAAACCATCTCTGACGGCTTGTTCTGGCGCTACCATCATCGCTTTGAGTACAGCGAAAATATACTCAGGTCCTTGACTGAACGGCGTGGCGGCTAAGAACTTGAAAGTGCTGCCGTGAATATCCCGCCTCCACTTCAACGTTTTGCTCCAATTGTCGAGGTCGTTCAAATGCACTGGCGGGTCGCCGCCACTGTAGGCCTTCACGAAATGACACACGTCCATGGCTTGACCAGCCATGTGGTGCGACTGCTGCTCGATCGATCGCGCAATCTTCTCCCAGCATGGCTCGCCCGACGATTTCTGGTTGGCGGTTGCGCGACTGTGAATGCGCTTCATCACCTGCAGCTTCGAGGCAGCCTGTTCAACTCCGTGCCCTGCGTTCTCGGAAGCCTGGATAAAGTCTGGCAGCTGAGGGCACGCCTGTTCCACCTGGCGCCTGATCACAACCCAGGTCATCCCATCTTCCAGCGGGGACCTGTAGGCTGGAAACCTCTGCTTGATCTTCTCGGCTGCAAGCCTCGAGTCAGTGGAGAAAGTGTCGCTCAACGTAGTAAGAGATCCATGCCTGGGCGAAATGATCTGCCACCGCCTCGACCACCTGCCCCTCCCCCCCACGCCCGACTCCTCGAAGAAGGGGGATGTCGTGCATTCCAGCGTCGTCGTCGTCGTAGTTTTCGTCGTCGTCATCGTCGTCGTCGATGTTTTCGCGCCAGCCGAGGCCGCCGAGCGCGAAGCGCGATTACCTTCGCGCTCCGAGGCGCCCTTTTGCATGGGGATTGGCCAAGGTAATGTGGCTGAGCACTTCGACCCAACTATCCTAACGCAACGGTGGCCCGCGACCGTGTGGGACGAGCTCACGGAGAAGATCTTGACCTCATGGTCGATCAGAGGCGCGAGGTGCCCGTCGCTGTCGGCGATCAGCTTCAAGTTGAAATCCATCATCTTCTTGCCCTGCGGGCCGTCAGGCCGCTCGAACGCAATCGCCGTCGGGACCCTCGGGTCCCAGCCCGCCTGGCAAATCCGTTGAATGAGAACGTGCACATCGGGAACTTCAATCCCAATGCCGTCTCTGTTGTCGCAATGAACGCCGACTTCTTTGCAATCGTGAACTGCCTTGACCGCAAGATCATTGGCCAACAACTGCTCTATCAATTCGTGGGACTTCGCTTTCAATGCCTCGCAGTCGCCATCTCTGAACTTTGCGATCGTCTCATTGATGTAGGGAGCGACCTTCGCCAAGCTCGCCTGCAGAGTCGGGTGGTCCATGGCGGATCATGCACTCACGTCAGCGCTGGCGTGCACACCTGCGCACAAAATCAAATTGAGGCGAAGTTTGATTAGAAATGGCAGCGGAAATAATAACAAATGCGAGCAACAACTGAAAGAATGTGAACAAGATCTGAAAATATGTGTGCGCATATGGTCACAGCCGCATCACATGCTCTCTGGCTAACCTACTTAGTAAACTTGGCCACCGTGGTTACTAACTCAGATCTGTTCTACCTTCGAAATCTATACAAACATATTCGGACCAAGATCCCTAGCCCGATAAGAAGGATGGTAAGGGTGTTATGCTTGTTCGCTCGTTTACGGTAAGATGGTTCGTAAAAACAGCTCGGAGGAAAGGTCACGTGCCTAAGGTCGCTATCACCATGGGCCTGTTTACAACCACGGTCCGCAACATGTATATGGTATATATATAGCTTGCAGCACTTGCAACAACTTATAATATGTGTACAAAGCAAATAGATCATATTATACATGATTATATGGAACGCAAGCGCCTAGCAAAACACACATCGATCCCAGTAGGGGGCCGAGGGGAAGAGCGCACGCTGCTGCAGGGCTGAACCCAAACGGTGTTTTTTGTCTTCGTTTTCCCTCGTTCTGTCTGCCATCCACCTCTGCCGCAAAACGGAGTCGAAACGAAAACGGCCCACGAAATCGCCAAAACACCTTTTAGGTCCAGCCCAGCGCTGCTATTTCGTTCGTTATGCTGTCTGTTCGTATTCCTGCGCATGGAAGTCCAGCTCAAGGCACGAAGACGGTGCCTTGTTGGCGGGGCCCCTCGGTGGATGCACACGTCTGAATCCGAGCGCGGCCCGGGAAAGCGCACTCAAACTGACATCCCGTGGGGGCCCACGCCAAGAAACACCCTGCGTGTCTCCAGGGTGCCCCGTGTTTCTTGGGCTTCGATGGCTCTGCGATGGAAGGCGTGACGCTCCCACACCAAAAACCGACGGGCGCTCTGGGGTCTCAGGGTTGGGCTTCCTGTGGAAGGCTTAGCTTCTTGTGGTCGGGCCCCTACCCCAGACATCCGACGTCTCGATTTTTCCGAGACACGGGCCCCCAACCTCCCGATCACTTCCCCGGGACCGGTCTTTCATCCCGAGTCGTTCTTTGACGGTCCCGAGGCCCGGCGAGGGCCTCCAGAGGCCGAACACGACGAAAATGTTTCGTCTCCATTTTTCCGAGACGCTCGAGGTCTGGGACCGTACCCGCGCCGCTCAGCCGAGGCGGTTGGGACGAGGTCGGCGGGATCGATCGAGGCCGAGCCTGGGGAACACTGGCTCCGAGAAGGCGAGCCTCCTCCTCCTCGTCCTCCTCGTCCTCCTCCTCCTCCTCCTCGTCCTCGTCCTCCTCCTCCTCCTCCTCCTCCTCCTCCTCCTCCTCCTCCTCCTCCTCCTCCTCCCTCCCCGCTCTCCCCTCCTCTCTGGAGCCGACCGCCGCCTGCTGTTCGCCGGCGAGCCGACCGCCGACGGCGCCTCCCGGAGGAAGGCAGGCAGGGAGGCGGCCTGCCCCCGCGGAAGGCGCCGGGGCGCCGGCGAGGGCCCCCCCCCGGCGCCCTTCATGAGAGGGCACCTGCGGCTCGGCAGAAGGCTTCTCAGAAGCCGCGAGGCGGGCGGCCGCGCCATTCGGGTCGGGCGAAAGGGGGGGATATATCAAAGGGGGGGGTTTGAGAATATCAGCTCACGGAGCTGATTTTCCCGGCGCCTCCCGGCGCCGGAGGAGGCTGTGTGTCGAGGAATGGGCCCCTCGGCGGGGCCGAAACCAGCTGCATGCAGCAAATTTCGTAACCCCCCCTTTCCCAATCCCCCCCTTTCGTCCGGCCCGAGCCATCTGCCCTCCCCCCCGGGGAGCCGCGTGTGGGCGCGGGCGCGGAGCCTGCCGGGCAGAGGGCCTCTCCCGGCCGCTCCCGGGCCGCGGCCACGGGCGGTGTGGCACGGGCACGGGCGCGGCGGGGCCCCCGCGGACGAGGCAGGGGCAGGGGGGGAGGGGAGGAGGGGAGGAGGGGCGGGGAGGCGGGGGGGGGCGAGAAGAAGGGGGATGGGGAGGGCGAGGAGGGGAGGGCGAGGCGAGGGCAAGAGGGGGGCGGGAGCAGAGGGCGAAGCGAGGGAGGGGGCCGAGGCGAGCGGTGGCAGGGAGGAGGGAAGGAGGGGGAGAGTCCTCCCTGCTTCCTCCTCCCTCCTCCCTTCCTCCGTCCTCCCTTCTCCCTTCCTCCCTTTCCCTCCTCCCTCCTCCCTCCTCCTCTCCTCCTCCCTCCTCCTCCTCCTCCTCTTCCTCCGCCTCTTCCTCTCCTCCTCCTCCTCCTCCTCCTCCTCCTCCCTCCTCCTCCTCCCCCCCTCCTCCTCCTCCGCCCTCCTCCTCCTCCGCCCTCCTCCTCCTCCGCCCTCCTCCGCCCTCCTCCTCCTCCTCCTCCTTCCTCCTCCTCCTCCTCCTCCCTCTTCCTCCTCCCTCCTCGCCACCTCCGGCGCACTTTCACAATTGCGGGGACGGGGCTCGGCCTTGCAAACGCTCGTGTCCGAGCGGCCGGCGCCACCGCCCGGCGCCGTGAGAGCCAGGCGCAAAGGGCGGGGACCGGCCTCAACATGCCCAGACCTCGGGCGTCTCGAAAAAATCGAGACAAAGGTTTTTCGTCGTTTTCGGCCCCTGGAGGCCCTCGCCGGGCCTCGGGACCGTCAAAAAACGACTCGGGATGAAAAACCGGTCCCGGGGAAGTGGTCGGGAGGTTGGGGGCCCGTGTCTCGAAAAAATCGAGACGTCGGATGTCTGGGTGGCCCGAGGGGGGGGCACCCATCGCTCGGGAGAAGCGGGTATACGGCCGGTTCGTGCGGCGTCGGCGCGCGCAAAGGCTTTCGACACCGCGTCGATCGTTCCACCTTGACCCGATCGCGGCCCCGATCGGTCAAGATTGCATTGTGTCGGGTCCAGTGGCGTTGCCATCCATCGGTGCTTCCGCGTCGCAGAAGTCAACCTTGAACACATTCGCCGGCGTCGCCGGCGCCCCAACGTCCCATGCACCATGAGGTAGAAGGGCGTTGAAAGTTGATCGGGGGTCCGCCCGCCCCTTGAAGAGGAGGGAAGAAGGGAAGGCCGTTCGACGCTTGAAATAGGAAGGCCGCCTAAATCGGGAACGGCCAAGAGGGGGGTGTCCAAGAGGGGGGGGTGCAAATCATGACCGGCGGCATGTGCGCGGCCCAGCGGGGGGGCGAGGGACGTAATGAAATAAGAGGAGGCGCCATGAAATCTGAGGAAAAATCATGGCCCGCGCCATGAAATCCACCCCCCCCTAGTCATCACCCCCCTCTTTTCCGCTCCCGACTAAAGCAGATTGGTTCCCGGAAGCGTCCGGAAAAACCATGTTGTCTGCGAGCGATGGATCTGGTCCCTGCATGAGCTGGCGGGCGAGGATGACAACAGCGAGCAGGGGCGGACGAGCCACGGCTCCTCTTCTCTCTCCTGGCGAGGTCCACCTGGTCCTCGAGCTGAGCCTCGGATCCGGTCTGGACGCCGCGTGGGTCGCCGCGTGGCGAAGTCAGGGAGAGGGGCGAGGAAGGAGACGGGGAGGCAGAACATGTGTGTTAGCCAGCGTGGGCCCAAAGCAGCGTGTTCCTGGCATGCTGCGCAGTGCAGAATATGAGGAGCAGTCTGCGTGGTACAATCTATGCGCTGCAATTGACTTCGAGTGACCTGGACTTGACAGCTCCGCTGCTCGACCGACGCAGGGGACAGCCAGTCTGGCGCGACTGGCGCGGCCGCGGTGGCGCTGACAACTGGGGATTTCCCGGCGCGTCTCGCAGGTCGTGCTTGAAGGGGCCCCAGGACACACAAATAAATACACACAAATAAAAATATTCCTCATATTTTCCCATATTTTCTGGGTTTTCGTCTTCCCCCCCACTTCCCATATTTTCCCATATTTTCCTAAAAATCGACGAATAATTGTGTCTGTGTGTTTTTTCCCCTCCTGATAGTCTGGCGCGACTGACGCGGCCGCGGTGGCGCTGACAACTGGGGATTTCCCGGCGCGTCTCGCAGGTCGTGCTGACGCGCGGGCACTTCAGCGCGGATCGGTGACTCGGGCGAGCGCGGCATCATGGTGACGTCGACAAAGGCAGACACGAATGTGATAGTATGGATGCTGGTGGCGATAAGGAAGACGACGGCGGCAGTGCCAATGACGGCGCCGATGCTGGTCACGCCGATGACGGTGATGATGTCCACGTGTCGACGATGAAGGTTTTGGAAGGATCTCGACATGCGCGCGCGGCCGACGGGCGCGAGTGAACCGCATTGTATTAGTTGGCAAGGCCCGTCGGGAACGTGCCAACATGCATCAGCCTGAGGACGCATGTTTGGGGCCTTAGACTTACATGTGCCCCTGTCTGCCGCTTACAGTGGCGCTCACGGGAGATAGGCCAGGTGCAGCAGATTTGTGCCACCTTATCCAAACACGTGTCCCTCTTCGAACAATCATCGCACACAGCTCGCTCCCGCTCCCCCAGGAAGCCGCCCCGACCAACTTCGAATGAAGGAGGCCCCAACGACAACCCCCGAAGGACTCACTTGACCCAAAGACGCTCCGAGAGAAGGGAGACATCGACAAGGCCCCCAGAGCATCAAGAATCGTCCCACCACCATCGTCCTCCAACTCCTCCGTCCCTTCCTTACTCTCATCGTCGTGGTCGTCTTCCATCTCATCCTCACTCTCATTATCAGGGGGTCTCGGCGGCCAGCCAGCCGCATAGCATTCTCGCTAGGGGGAAGGGCTTTGATAATCTACCAAATTAGATACACAAGCTGCAGAGCCTCTTCCATTTAGGCACTGTGACTCTCCATTGCTGCGCGCACGAGGCCACGAAGAAGCGAAGGCGGTAAAAGCGGGAAAGCAGCATTGACAACACACATTGCGCGCGGGACTGCGCGAACATTACTGAGAGAAACCATGGGCTCGAGGAGGAGGAGGAAGAGGAGGAATAGGAGGTGGAGGAGGTATACGTCACGCCATCAGCCACTGAGTAGGCTACGTAACCATCTTGAAACACAGGGTCAATTCGTGGCCGAATTCGGGGTCCCGTCCAAACGTGCCTCGTCTCGAGACATGTGTCCTAACAACCCAAAAACTCAAGTTCTGCGCTTCCTGTGCAGGGCTGCCGTCTCGGAATTCTCTCTGGCTTGCTGGCCCATGGCCATCTCCATGGACTGTCCCAAACCGGCCTGAACAAATGCTGCACGCAATGCACGTCGGTTTCCGCTCGAGTCGAGCGCCATTGATCGTGCCAGCACGACCGCTGCCAGCACGACTACATGGCATCATTGTCAATGCCCGTGTCCGACTCAAGCGGGAATGACCTCTTAGGCTCAGCTTAGCAACCATGCTGACATGAACTATGTTTCGGGCCCGCTTTGGCAAGATGTCCGTAGAAAACTCGAATTCGCACCGCACCACAAAATAATATTAGATCATCCCCGATGCTGAAGCATCCCCGGCGCTAGTCTAACCGTCTCCACTCTGTTCAGAAACTCGAAACAACGCCCAGGTGACTGGAAGAACAGGAAGCAGGCGGAACGAATAGAGGGCTATACAGTTGAAGAACATATTAAGATGACCTGCGATATCGGGAGCGGCCAAGAGGAGGGTGTCCAAGAGGGGGGGGTGCAAATCATGACCGGCAGCATGTGCGCGGCCCAGCGGGGGGACCAGGGACGTAATGAAACAAGAAGAGGCGCCACGAGATCTGGGGAGATATCATGGCCCGCGCCATGATATCCACCCCCCCCTAGTCATCACCCCCCTCTTTTCCGCCCCCGACGATAGCTCAGCAGCATCCTCCTCCGGTAACCCGACATGGAAATGCCAAGATGCGCGGCCAGGCCTTGCTGAACTCCACGGACTGAACGCGGGCCTCCAGCTGCTCCATCACGGCCTCGGGGCCGGCCTCCTTGCCCCTCAGGGCCCTCTCTCCTCGTGCCCCGTCTTGCTGGCCGTTCCAAGAGACGTGTACACCTTGCGAAACGCTTAAGAAATCATGGGTTAAGAAATTCATAGTCTCAGAACTTGAATAAAAACCCAACATTTCTATTCAAATCTTAGGATTTACATGGAAACGTTAAGAATAATCGAGACTCTGGCCGAAAACTTAGGTTTTCTTAAGCATCGCCTGAAGTGTACCCCGCGCGGCCCGAAGCACGGACTTCTTCCCCAAACAGTGCTTGCCTAAGGCCTTAGGGTCTCCTGCCTGGTCTACAAGTATGCGGCTGACGCTTATGTTGTCTTCGAGCAGTCACTGTGCTACCATAATAAGGAACGCGGAATCCGTCGCAGCGGGAGAGCCCGACTGCGACGCGGGGGAGGCAGGGCGCCGCACGCGTGGGCTCCTCGCCGAGGCGCCGCGGCCGCCGAGGAGGAGGAGGAGGAGGAGGAGGAGGAGGCGGAGGAGGAGGAGGAGGAGGAGGAGGAGGAGGAGGGAGGAGGAGGAGGGGAGGAGGGGGGGGAGGAGGAGGAGGGGGGGAGGAGAGGAGGAGGAGGAGGAGGAGGAGGAGGAGAAAGAAGAGGCGTTCCTGGCCACGGCGAACCTCGGCAACGAATCCCACCAGCCCTTTAGGGCGTGAGTGGCTTAAAAGGTTTCCTCTTCCAGCCCCCTTCACGAGAGGAGACGGAGGAGGAGGAGGAGGAGGAGGAGGAGGAGGAGGAGGAGGGAGGGAGGAGAGGGAGGAGGAGGAGGAGGAGGAGGAGGAGGAGGAGGAGGAGGAGGAGGGCAATTCCTCTTCCAGCCCCCTTCTTGCCCTTCGGGGAGGGGTCGACTTCCCGATTAATACAACACCCCCTCGCCCAGGCGACCAGCAGCCAACCAGGACCACTGCCCCCCACCCCCCCCACCAATGTCAAAAAAACAATACGAACCCTGGGTAGTCGAAGCCAATCTGGCGCCAATCTGGCAGGCCCAATCTGGCAAACGGGGGCAATCTGGTGAGGGAGCCAACGCGAATCCAGTCTGGCGAATGACCCAAATCCTCCAAGTTGGCCAGGTCAGATTGGCCCTTAGGGCCCAATCCAATCTGCCGGTCTGGCCTTCGACTACCCAGGAACCACACGTTGTGGCAAAATCTTGGGCCATGCTCGCGGGCCCCGCAAACACTCTTTGCATTGTGTTGCGACCGGGACGGCGGGGGGGCGCCCGCATACGGCCTCCTCTGCGCGAGGCCACCACCCCTGTCCAAAACAAAATGCCCTTCGTGTCAACATCTGGATCATGCGCGGCCACCCCGCGATCACTGTCTAATGGTGTTTCACTTTTGACAAGGACCGCGAGGGTGCTCGCATATTTAGGCGGAAAACAAACCTACCTCGCTTTTGACCACCCTCGCTTCCAAGAGATACCAAGCGATGCCAAACTACGGCCTGTACTGGTTAGGCCGCTTGACGGGGAGGCGCGTGGTATGACTTGGTTTTGCCTGGAAGCGAAGGCCGGGTAGGTAATTCACGCTCTGAATATTGCCTGCTGTGTGCAGGCCCAGAAGACGCCATGATGGCCTCCCCGTCCCGACTGTGCACTGGTGTTCGATGTGTGCTGTCACGTGCGCGGGCGCACCTGGCACACTCTGCGCGTGCCCCAGACGTTGCGCATCTGGTGCGGCTCCATGCGGCACACACGGCGCACGTGGAGCACGTGGCGCATCTGGCGCATCTGGCGCGCGAGGCGTGCGGGACACGCTTGGACCCCACGGGTGCCTGGCGCACCTGGAGCTGAGGCACGCGTGGAGCACCTCGCCCCATCGCGCACACTGGGCCTACACTGGCTCCCAATAGCTGCCCACCCATAGACGACCGCTGAACATGCTTAGGCTCGGGTGTTACTTGAGTCTTGGGAGGGCGGGTGGGAGTGAGCGAGTCAACTTGCGGGCGGGGAAGGTGCCTTGATCTCTGCTCCCTATGAATATACACCCACTCCCCCAAGCGACCGGCAGCCGACCAGGAACCGTGGGGGCACCATGCTCACCCCCTTCCCCACTGTCAAAGAACATAATACAACACGCAATATGCATCCACATTTTGAGCATGCGCGGCCAACCCGATGCGCCCCCCCCCCCCATACCATCCCTATCCACAAGCAATACAAAAGACACGTTCGGGCAAAGTCTTGAGTTGGGTTCGTGAGGCCAGCAAACACGCTGTATTGTTTTTGACAGGGACGGCGGGGGTGTCAGCATATTGCCTGCTGCGCGCAGAGCTACCATCCCTGACAAAAACAGTACCGAATGCACCTCGCAGCTACGGCGGGGGTGGTGGCGTATGGCCTGCTGTGCGCACGCCTTCCAGACACAATGATTGCCATTGTTTTCGACAAGGATGGCGGGGGCCGACATGGTTCCCGAGGCGTGCTGTCACGTGCGCAGGCGCACCTGACACACTCTGCACGTGCCCCAGACGTGGCGCACCTGGCGCGGCTGGAGTATGCGGCACACCTGGCGCACGCGGAGCACGTGGCGCATCTGGCGCACCAAGCGTGCCTGGCACGCTCGGGCCCCAGGGGTGCCTGGCGCGCGTGGCGCGCCTGGCACGCGTGGCGCACCTCAATGAAGGGGCGCCAGGACACACAAATAAATACACACAAATAAAAAGATCCCCCATATTTTCCCATATTTTCTGGGTTTCTGTCTTCCCCCCCACTTCCCATATTTTCCCATCTTTTCCTGGGAATCGACGATTAATTGTGTCTGTGTGTTTTTTCCCCTCCTGACTCAACCCAGCGTCGCGCACATGGGGTCGGTGTTGGTTCCCGATAGCTGCGATCGCCATCGCCACGGTGCACGCGCAAGCGCCAGCATGCGGGGCGGGGGTCCAGGCCCCCCTCCCCCCCGCCGGGGGAGGGGGGCGCACGAGCGCCCAACGTCGAGTCGATAAGTCGGATCGGCAATCGAAGTAAATCGGATCGGAGGAAATCGGCAGCCGAGTCGGGAAAAGTCGGATCGGCGGAACTCGGCAGGCTAGTAGGCCTCCATTGAGAAATCGGAGCCCACATAGCAAAATCCAAAGTCGAATCTAATCGGAATCGGAAGCCATCGAAATCGAATCGCATCGAATCGGAGGAATCGAAATGAGCCCTGGGGGGGCTTGGCCTGGATAATGATCGTTGCGCGCCAAAAGATGCAACGGACAAATCTCCTCGGCGCTTTCCGTCGAGGAACCAAAAACGGCGTCTTGGTTCTGCGCTGAGCAGCCTTCCCTGGCACGCGGGGCGGGCCAGGGGCGGCGCCGGAGGCGCCGCAAGGGGGGCCCCAGCGCCGATCGCGGAGAAATCCGCGCGGACCGTCGAAAGTACACGCCGGTCGGAAGAAGTAGGTAGAAGCATGAAATAGGAAGGCAGATACAGTCGGGCTGGATTGGAGAGGACACGCGAGAGGACAGAGACCCTTCCGAGGGCCACGTTGCCACGGGAATGTAGGAGGCGTGGGTCGCGAAACACAGGGCACGAGGGCACCCTTGATTTGGCAGGGTCGACCTACTAATCCGGGCCGACTGTAAAGTAGATTGGGTTCGGGCCCGCCCAAGTGATAGCAAAAACAACAGAATCATATCGATTCTTGAAGTAGGAAGGCGCTCGAAATAGGCTGGGTTTGGGGAACCCGGGCACACCTACTTTCACAGACCTCTGAGTGTCTGTTTATGACGTTCTGTCTTCTCTGGTTCTGAGGATCGGCGGCCAGCCCGGGGGGAAGTGAGAAGGGGCGGACCTTCTCAGAAGGCTCGAAATCCCCCGGCCTTCTGAGAAATTTTGGAGTCCCGAGACGGTGCGGTGACGGACCGTGCGGTGACCTCGCAATCCCCCAAGACTTCACCGCACGGTCGGTCACCGCACGGTCTTGGGACACCGGAGGCCCCTGTCGCCCGAGACGTCCTCGGAGAGGGACTCGAGTCCCAAAACCGTGCGGTGACCCCGAATCCCCACCGACTCACCGCACGGTGTGGTCACCACACCGTTTGGGCGCCCCCGAGAAGTTTGCGAGGCCTTCCCCGAGGACGCAGACAGCCTCCCCGGAGGCGGGAGGCCCTCCGAGCAGCCCCGCCGCCTGACGAGAGCGACCGCTGGCTTCGCCGACGCCTGGCTTATCGCCGACGGCTGGTTTCGCCCGGCTGGTTTCGCCTGGCTGGTTTCGCCGCCCCGCGAAACCAGCTCCGTCGGCGAAACCAGCTGCCGTCGGCGAAACCAGCTGCCGTCGGCGAAACCAGCTGCCGTCGCCAAAACTGCCCGACCCGACCCGCCCGCTAGGGTCCGCCCGCCCGACCCGACACGCCCGTTAGGGTTCGCGCGTCTTCGGTCAAGCGTGCCCCACACACATTACCGCCCGCCCGACCTGACCAGCCCGTCGGGGTCCGCCCGCCCGACCCGACCCCACCCGCCCGCTGGGGTCCGATCGCCCGACCCGACCCTCCCGTTAGGGTTCGTGCGCGCTCGGTCGACCGCGCCCCACACTTGCATGTCCCGCCCGCCCGACCCGACCCGACCCGACCCGCCCGCTAGGGTCCGCCCGCCCAACCCGACCCGCCCGCTAGGGTTCGCGCGTGCTCGGTCGAGGGCGCTCCACACTTGAATGTTCCGCCCGACCCGACCCGACCCGCCCGTTAGGGTCCGCCAGCCCGACCCGACCCGCCCGTTAGGGCTCGCGTCGGCGAGACCAGCGCCAGCGAAACCAGCCGCCGGCGAAACCCGCCGCCGGCGAGACCAGCCGCCGGCGAGACCAGCCGCCGGCGAGACCAGCGCCGTCGAAACCAGCTCATGCCACTACGCACACGCGCGCGGAGCCACAGGTCCGCTACGACACGCGTCCGCGGATAGAGAAACTCAGCGCCATGGCAAGGGATGGGAGGGAGGGGTAGGATGTCAGATGTTAACGCGAGCGCACCTAACTTGCCTCCTCCCCTCTGACGAGAATGCATTATCCTTCTCGCTCCCCCCCCCCGTCGGTGCGCCGCCGAGAGAAGGCCCGCCCCCCTTTGCCTTCCCACAGGGCTGGCCGCCGAGGAGGAGGAGGAGGAGGGGGGGGGGGGGGGGAGGAGGAGGAGAGGAGGAGGAGGAGGAGGGAGGAGGAGGAGGAGGAGGGAGGAGGAGGAGGAGGAGGAGGAGGAGGAGGAGGAGGAGGAGGAGGAGGAGGAGGAGGAGGAGGAGGAGGAGGCCATCCCCTCGCCCACGCCCTGCGCCGCGCCGCCGCGCATCGCCTCTCCTGCGCTGCCCCAAGCCCTCCCCTCGCCCTCCTCCTCCTCCTCTCCTCCTCCTCCTCCTCCTCCTCTCCTCCCCCTCCTCCTCTCCTCCTCCTCCTCCTCTCTCCTCCTCCTCCTCCTCCTCCTCCTCCTCCTCTTCCCTCCTCCTCCTCCTCCTCCTCCCCCTCCCTGGATGGAAGCAGCGCTAAGCCGAACAGCGTTGAGAAGCAGTGGAATGGATGATCAAATGTTGACTGCACTATCGGTGCTGATGCTTCCGCCTTGCTGGGGCAACGATAAAGGGGGACCGGCTCAGGGGGGAACGTCGAGCATGAATCGGCGCTACGTCGCCCATGGATCAATCGAGCCCCTACCTGCGATGAGTGGGCGATTGGGGGTCGATGCATCCCCTCCTGAGCCTATCCCTGCCCCTCACGCCGGCCCCACGCAGCACGAGGATAACCAGCCTCGAGCCGATTCTCACCCCTAAGATCGACAAGCCCCGGGCACCTCAGGAACGCGCCCGAAGCTAACTTGGGGACTGCCCTCGAGATCGGCGCCGAGGTGAGGGGATGCCAATCTCAACTAGGGCTCCCAACTTCGCGCTTCGCGCTGCGCGAAGCGCGAATAACTTCGCGCTCTCGCGCCGCCCTCCCAAAGGGAGAATAGGAGGACGAGGAGGAGGGGGAGAAGGAACGAGGACCGCGAAGCGCGAATAACTTCGCGCCCTCGAGGGAGCCCTTGTCTCAAGGACATGGGCATGTTCCGGGCCGGGATGCGCACCCGACCCAGGAGGAGCCCCCAGAGAGGCGGCCCTCGCCTCGCGGGTGGACACGTCCTGCTCGAGCCTCACGTTCTCCCGGGCTGCCGCCACCACCTCTGGCCCCGGGGGCGGGGACGGTGGCACGTCAGGACGCTGCAGGGTGGGAAGCGCATGTGCGGCGGGTCCGTGCCGCGTCGACTTGCAGGGCGGTTTCCGACTCGAGCGATCGCGCCTTTCCGATCTCGCAAGATCGCTCGACATCGGCCGATTCCGGGCCACTGGCGGCGGTCAACCTTGAACGCCCGCACCCGGGTCGCTGCCTCGTCGACACGACGCGAGCCTACACTCATCACGCGCGGCGCCACGCAGCTGCACGCAGTCCCTCAGACCCAGCCCCCCACGTAATGAATTGTTCATTACGTCGACCCCAAAGTTCTCGACCCCTTCCCCAGGACCGGTTTATCATCCTGAATCGTTTTTTGACGCTCCCGAGGCCCGGTGAGGGCCCCCGGAGGCCGAAAATTAGGAAAAACCTCCCGTCATGATTTTTTCATTGCTCGAGGGGGTCTGGGGATGGGCTGGGAGCTCGGCCCCGTCATTCTGGACCACGGCTGGGTCTCACTCCGGCCCCAGGGAGAGCGACATCCCCAAGAACTTCCGCCATGATAGCTCGGGGCGCCCAGGGGGGGAGACAGAGGGGGCGGGCGCTCTGAAAAGGCTCCGAAGGTTCCTGGCCTTTTGAAAACCTTTGTGGGCCCTCTCCAGACCCACAGGGCTGTCTGAAGGCCAGGGGGCTCCTGAAAAGCCCCGCCTTCTGAGAAGGCCCGCCCCTTCTTCGGTGCGCTCCCGAACTTGGCTTCCGGGCCCCCACTCCTCCTCCTCGGGTCTCCAGCGGCCGCTCGGGAAGATCCGCGCCCCCCCGGAGCGCCCTCGGCCACGCGCAGCTGCTGAAGAGCACCCCGAGGCGAGAAAACCTCCGGGAACCGACGAACGCAGCAGAACGCGCCGAACTCTCCCCCCCTCGGCGCGCCGCCGAGTGATGCCCCCCGAGGCGCCCCTGCGCGAAGCCCAGACGCTGGCGCTGCGGCGCCTGGCGAGGCGGCCTGGGCTCGTCGCGCCCGCGGCCCGCTGCGAGCCCGCCCCCGGCGCCCTTCTGGACGGCCCGCGGCCGGCGCAGGGCCTCGCCTGCGAGCTGGGGCGTCGCCCCTGGCTGGCGGAGGCCTTCGCCTCCGCTCGCCTGGAGAGGGCACGTCCCCGGAATCTCACGCTCTCGACCGCGCGTGAGAGGGATGAGCGAGCCAGACAGCCAGTCAGCATAGACCCGCCCCCCGTGGAATGGCGCCCGCACAGGGCACTTGGCCGCAGGACACTCCGCAGAGACGCGTGCGCCCTGGGGAGGGTCACGCACAGAGAGGTGGGAGAAGAGGACAACTGCAGGTGTCCCCACCGGCCTGGCATGAGACATCCTCCACACCGTGGACCCCTCCGTACCCCCCGCTCCTGGGGCCGCCTGCGGCGGTCTTCGGCGGCTTCCCCGCACGGTCTCTGGCGGTCCCCAGCGAGCCTCGGCGCGAAAGCTGGAGAGCTCGAAGACCAAGTCTTCCCCGATGTACGAAGGGCGCAAGGCGAGAGCCCCCGTCCGGGGAGCGTACCTCAGGAGGAAAAGAAACACACAGACACAATTAATCCTCGATTCCCCAGAAAATATGGGAAAATACGGGAAGTGGGGGGGAAGACAGAAACCCAGAAAATATGGGAAAATATGCGGAATATTTTTATTTGTGTGTATTTATTTGTGTGTCCTGGGGCCCCTTCAGTACCATCGGACCTAGGGCAGAAGAACATCCCTCGAGTACACGAGGCCCTCCGCCGGCCCAAACACACAGAACATCCAAGGGCACCCGCCCCAGGGTGCACGAGAGCATCCAACAAAAAACACTGAGAACATCAGGGCACCATCCCCAAACCGCCCTCGATCTTATGCCTCGGTCCGACTGTACGAAGGGCGCAATGCGAGAGACCTCGTTGGTCGACGTTGAGCGAGGGGGGGAAGCTAGAGAGACGGCGAAGGCCTTCGCAGAAGGCGGCGAAACTTCTCAGAAGCCCCCCGTCCTGACGAAACGCAGGCTTGGACGACTTCTCAGAAGGCCAGGGGGACTTCTGCGCCCTCTGAGAAGGCCCGCCCCCTGAGAAGGCCCCCCGAGAAGGCCCGCCCCCTGAGAAGGCCCCCCCGAGAAGGCCCGCCCCCCTCTGCGAAGGCCCGCCCCTCTGGGAAGGTTCGGGCTGGCCGCCGCTTGCCAGAACCCGGGAAGACGCAGCTGCATAGACGGGCACTCCAGATTTTGCAATAAACCCAGACCCCCTCGAGTAATGAAAATATCATGACGGGAGGTTTTTCCCAATTTTCGGTCTCCGGGGGCCCTCACCGGGCCTCGGGAGCGTCAAAAAACGACTCAGGATGACAAACCGGTCCTGGGGAAGGGGTCGAGAACTCTGGGGTCGACGTAATGAACAATTCATTACGTCGGGGGTCTGGGAAGGGAGGGGGGTCTCATTTCGGGGGGGGCCTCTTCCAGGCCATCTTGGAGGGCCTGGGGGGGTCTGGGGACGATGTTCTGGAGGGTTCTCCCACCGGGGGGGGGTCTAAAACTTCTCGAATGGGAGGCTTGAGACCCCCTCCCTTTTATTACGAAATCTGGAGCACACAGTCCCCGCGGTCCCCCCTATGAAAACAAAAACCATCATGCTTTCTAGGGTGTCACGCGCAGGAGTTGCGTGCTGGAACCGATTCCCAGACGAGCTGTCGCGAGAAGGGTGCCCGTGGCAGAGCAGGGAAAGCACTAGCGAGACAAAGAGGGGGAGGAACAAATAATGCCAGATTCCGCAATAAAAGGGAGGACCCCCTCCCTTTTATTGCGACATCTGGAGCACTCTGGACCCCTGACGGCCCGCGCGGCCTGCTCCGAGCGGCGCCGAAAACTAGGGCTCCCAACTTCGCGCTTCGCGCTGCGCGAAGCGCGAAGCGCGAATAACTTCGCGCTCTCGCGCCGCCCTCCCAAAGGGAGAATAGGAGGACGAGGAGGAGGGGGAGAAGGAACGAGGACCGCGAAGCGCGAAGCGCGAATAACTTCGCGCCCTCGAGGGAGCCCTTGCGAAAACGACGGGCGCAGGGCGATCGACGGCGTGCGACGGGGAGCCCCCCGCGCACGCCCGGGGGGCGACGGGGAGGCGCTCGACCGGGGGGGTGCGCGGAGGGCGCACGAGCGAGGGACGCCCGAGGAGCCTTCGCCCGGGGCGCGGGATCGAGGGCGTGCGGCGGGGAGCCCCGCGCACGCCGGGGGGCGACGGGGAGGCTGAAGGGGCCCTGGGACACACAAATGAATACACACAGATGAAAAGATTCCCCATCATTGTCCTATAGTTTCTTGGCTTCTGTCTTCCCCCCCCGCTTCCCATATGTTCCTATGTTTTCTGGGAATCGACGGTTCATTGTGTCTGTGTGCTTTTTCCCCTCCTGAGAGGCGCTCGACCGGGGGATGCACGCGTGGGGCGCACGAGCGAGGGGGGCACGGGCAATACACAGGACACGCGGCGGGGGAGCGGCACGGACATGCAGTCGGACCGGACCTGGGACAGAAGAGCACGCTTCCAGACCACGAGACCCTCCGCCAGCCAGAGCGAAGAGCACTCGAGGGCAATCTCCGCCCGGATGCACGGGAACCTCGAACAGCACGACGCCTTCGCTTCTCTGGCACTGCACGGCGAACCCGGATACACTGTTACCCGCGACGTGCTCTACGCTGACGACACACTGTTGGTATCGAAGCGTACTTCAAATGTGCAGCGTGTGGTGGATGCAAGTGCTGTGGAGGGGTAAACATATATAGCATGGAATGAGGTTGGACAAAGCTGTACACATCCAAAGCGAATGTGCAGCCGTGATCAAGAGGCCCACGGTCGAAATCGAGCCGATCAAGAGCGCCGGGGAGGCCGCATGTCTTGGAGGGGTCGTGCCCGGTGATGGGCGGGCAGCGGACGAGCTGCTCCCCCGCCGTGGTTGGCGAGAGCGCCAGCGCATGCAAACAGCTGCAAACACTTGAAGGGGCCCTGGGACACACACACACATAGATACACACACAAATAACATTATTCCTCATATGTTTCCCATCTTTCCTGGGTTTTGTCTTCCCCCCACTTCCAATATGTTCCCATATTTTCTGGGGCATCGACGATTCATTGTGTCTGTGTGTTTCTTTCCCTCCTGAATGATGGGCGCACGCGTCTGTTGGTAAGCATCGAAGTTTTACATAATTACATACAAGTTGCGTGATCAACAAACTCCTTTACTCATCAGACTCCTTGTGGCTTCTGAGGGCGGACAGAGATCGCTTGGATGCTTTCCACTGCAGGCGTCTGCGGGAAATGATGGGCATCCCACGTCCATCTTATTATTCGCGCGCATCGAACACAGGCGTTCTGGAAAAGGCAGGGTCCAGACCGTTGTCGCAGATGTTGCACGACAAACAAATCAGCCTGTGCAAACGTATCTAAGGAGGAGGAGGAGGAGGAGGAGGAGGGGGAGGAGGAGGAGGAGGGAGGAGGGAGGAGGGAGGAGGGAGGAGGGAGGAGGGGGAGGGGGAGGGGGAGGAGGAGGGAGGAGGGAGGAGGGAGGAGGGAGGAGGGGGAGGAGGGGGAGGAGGAGGAGGAGGAGGAGGAGGCGAAACAATGTCTCCAGTGACGCAACTGGTGTGCAGCGCGGACGGTCCTCCGAGGCATGGGGGCCCTTCGCCGACGCAGCAGGCCGCCCGAGGCAGCAGGGGGCAGACGAAGTACTCCAGATTTCGCAATAAAAGGGAGGGGGTCTTGGAGGGACAATTCCCAGATCGTCTGGTACCGGAAATTTTCGGTAGCGATTTCGACGCACCCCGAATTTCGGTAGCGACCGGATCTTCGTTTGAGGGCGTTGAGAAAGCGGATTTCAGAACGCTCTGATACCGGTATTGGGCGCTACATTTCGGTATTTCGGTAGCGACCGATCTCTGCGGAGCGCTACCGGAAATTTTCGGTAGCGGACCATCGGGGTTAGGGATTGAGAACCCCTTCCGGGACCCCGGCGGGACGGGCCGAAGACCCAGGGGGGGGTCTTTCGGGAAAAGGAGCCAAAACCAAAGCCGAAAGGATCTGGCACGCCGGGCACCCCTGCGACGAATCGACAGGGGGCGGCGGATCGAATGGCCTTCGGCCCACACCGCCACCGTGCCTGGGTTGTGGGTATGAAGCCTACTCCAGATTTCGTAATAAAAGGGAGGGGGTCCGGACCCTCCAAGACAAGCCATTTCAGGCCTCCCCCGTGGGAGAAACCTCCCAAAACATCGTCCCCAGACCCCCCAGGCCCTCCAAGATAGCCTGGAAGAGACCCCCCCCGAAATGAGACCCCCCTCCCTTTATTACGAAATCTGGAGTAAGCACAATGGGGCATCATCACGTTTGATTGCAGTTGCATCACATCACCGTCTTCGTACCGCGTTTGGCGGACTGCATCTGGGGCGCGGTTGGCGCACCACCTATCTCCATGCCGTTGCATCGCATCATTGTCTCCGCTTCGCGTTTGGCGGATTGCATCCCTGGACGCGTTTGGCGCACCAACATAGCTTTTTAGTCATTCCTCTGCCCACGCGTCCACAAGACGCACGGCTTACTTGCTTGCTCCCCGAACCGACCTCGATCTTGTAACTCGGTCCGACTGCAAGGAAAGCGTACGACGGGGGAGGCGCGGACATACGGAAGCCGTACGACGGGAGGAGGCATGAAAAGCGCGCGAGGACGAAGGAGGGGCGGCTTGGCGGGCGTACCGTTTTGGGGATCCTGGGGGCCGTCGCCAGGAGCCGTCTTGCCCACGAGGCAGAAAGCGAGGCGGAGAACCACCCCGAGCGGTTTTCTTTCTGTCGCACGGCCGCTGGCCCTGCCGGGCGCATCAAGGGGGCGTCGCGCACTTCGTGCCATGGCGCCTCCAACGGCTCGTGGCTTCACTGGAGGCCTCCAGCTGGGTCTGGAAGATGTCCACGACGAACCGCCGTCCGACAATCCGGCGTTCGAGTGTTTACTGTTGGCTTGCTGCGCGTCTTCCTCATCATTCGGCGTCGTTCGGAGAGAACGTCGGCTGTTTATTGCAATTCGATGTCCACGTCTACGGGACTGCCCAAAACACTGAATCGACACGCTGGCACCGGATCGAAGGGACGGAAAAGGGATGAAGGCAAAGACGAGGACCGCACTCGCTCTGAAGAAGCGGACTTCCAAACGCCAATGGTGCACCTCCTCTTGTTGTTCGCCGTGTCCGCCCGTCCGAATCTCAACGTCTCCGTGGTCATGAGGCGGCCGACTCGGTGGAGCAACTCCCCCGCGTAGAGATGGATGGGACAGACAACTCCGATCTGCGATGTTCCAGGTGTTTGTTTATCATTCATGCCGCTTTTTCTTCGAACCTGGCGCAGGGACACTCGACTCGAAAGGCTGTCCGCGGCGGCAGCAAAGGCATACGAAAGGGGTCAAGGCGGCAGCGGGTCCCCGTGCCGGCACCTTGTCGGTGAGCTTGCCCACCTCCTGTGCTATCGCAGCCTTCCGCGCGCGCAGCAGCTCCTCCTGCAGAGGGAAGAGGTGGCGAGGCGCAGGGGTGGGAGGATGGACGCACGAGAGGAGGCACGAGGCGCGAGGTAGAGAGAAGAGGCGCGAGGCGCGAGGTAGAGAAGAGGACTGGACGCATGAGGAGAAGAGCCGCTGGCAAGACTGCCCAAGCCCACCGCCCCGCTCTCGCAGATGAAGGCACGCCGAGGAACCGCTCGTCAACCAGAAACTATCCGAATACAGGATCGCAAAGCAAGCCCTCAACTCGGCTCGGCTGCCAGATTTGGAGATCCCTTTTAAAGCGAACGCTGCACTCTTGAGAAATGTAAGGGCGCTGACCGGGGCAAACCGTGACTCGGGGGAGCGCAAGTCATGGCGCAGCCTGCTTCTGGGAAGCCTGCAAAAATAGTATCGTCGCGTTACAAGTCGTCATGCGTGGTCTACGTCAAAGGAAACTAAGGAAATATACATTCCCGCCTTGCGGCAGGCGAGCCTTCCCACTACAATGTCGCATCCAGCAACAATGGCGCAACCTGTGGCGCCACCTGTGGCGCAACCAGTGAAGGAACCGATGGCGCGACCTAGGCGCGTTTGGCAAAGCATGACTCCGAGAGCTTGCCATGCGCAACATGTGGCGCATCATACGTCGCAACCTATGGCGCATCCTACTGCAGATGCCAATTTTGTCGTCGACCACCTGATTACTCGAGGGATCGTTCAACCTTGAACGATAGCGGATTCCTGACGAGCGGGGTCGTTCGACATCGACTCGGAACGCCCGCGGCGGGGGGGTCGCCGCCGCGTCAGTGCAGTACAAAGATGCCGTGCTGACCCGCCCTGCGGCGGCTCGCAGGATCGGGCGCACGCTGACATTGATTGCGGATCTGCGGATATGGCGCGTGGGCGCCAGATCCGCGGATCGGGAAGGTGCCCCCCCGGAGCCCGAAGCACGATGCCAAGACCGCCTGATCTGGCGACAAGCTGGGCCAGTTCTACAGGACAGGCTGCGTAAGCATCCACTATCGACGGTCCTCGCGGATGTCTTGGATCGGCGCTGGAATCCCCTGCCTGGAGCGCGGAGCGCGCCAGGGGCTGCAGCGGAGGCGCCGCCAAGGAGGCCCGGCGCAGCTGCAAGACAGCCGCGCCGTTTCTGGCCACGTATGTTTTTTTCCGTCGTCCGGATCCCAAACGGAAATATATGCCCTATGCACCAATCCTGGCCTGGACCTGGACTTGAGCAGGGACCGACCGTCCCGACATTCCTATAGGCCTGCCACGACATGTTCTCAGAGCCCCAACATGTAGAACCAAAACACTGTCCTTGGAGCAGATTCCCGACGTGTGGAAACAAGCCAGCGGCCATGCCAGCGGCTGCGCACGGAGGGGCATACGTCCAAGCGCGCTGGCCCCATCGCCGCCCAACCGTGTTCCAGTTCACGTTCCGGTTTCCCCGCTGGTGCGCATACTCTGCCGCAGCTGTGGCTAACGCCTGCGGAAAAAAACGAAGAGAGGCAAGAGGAAGGGGGTGACGACGACGACGACGATGACGACGACGACGACGACGATTCCCAGCCAGAAATGCTCTCAGAACCCCCCGCGGAAGCCACGGAAGGCTCTTGGAGCACTGCTTGGCAGGCCTGTGGGCGCGCCAGGACGCCTCGCCACTGCCCGCTGGCCCGTCCTGGCCCCCGGGAGCCGTGCCCACGCCCGCCCCGGCTCGGCAGAGGGGAGGCAGACGCACCGGGTATCCCCCCGGGGGCCCTGCAGGGGCCTGGCCAGGATCGTCTTGCGCGGGAGCTGCCTCTCCCCAGAGGTCCAACGCACTGAAAACATCAAGGCGGAGGTCTTTCGCAAAGTTCGGCCCCTATAGGGGCCCTCGCCGGGCCTCGGGACCGGCAAAAAACGACCCAGGGTGAAAAACCGGTCCTGGGGAAGGGGCCGAGACTTCCGGGGATAAAACAAGGCTAGGATCGGGATAAATCGCTTCAGAGCGTTCCGGAGCGCTCTCAGAGCGTTCCGGAACGCTCTGGAGCGGCCGCGGCGCCCAATACATCCTCCAGACCCGCCGATTCTCAGAGATTTCGAGTTATCCCGATACGATTTTGTCCCGATCCTCGCGTCGTTTTAGGGGATCGCGCATCGAAAAACTCACGACGTCGGATCTCTGGGTCGTCGCCCGAGGCCGCGCGCCGTGTCCCGGGCCTCTCTTTGGTGCCTCACGCCACGGGAGCCCGCGCGGCCCCCTCCTCCTCCTCCTCCTCCTCCTCCTC